GAAGCAGCAGCAGCGATTCAGAAATTAAAATCCCTAACTTGTGTCGATACTTCACTATTCTGTCTACTGCCCCAAACTTCATTCCAGTGGTGATAGTTTTGTCATCGTCCATCTTCCTAATAAGCTCTCTTTGGAAGCACATAGAACAAGTGCGATGCAATGGAACTGGCATTGAGGATCTCAGCACCCAAGCTCACTTGAGTGCCATCAAAGTTCTGGCTTTCTTCGCTGTTCTGTACCTCTCCAGTTTTGTTGCAGTCGCTTTGAGATCCGAACTGGCCTGGAAAAGGTATGAGCATAATTGGATATCTATACTTTTAGAAACTGTGGGTGGAATTTATCCCTCTGGACATGCCATTATCCTGATAATAAACAATCCCAAACTGAAACAGGCATGGATGCAGATGCTACATCACTTAAAATGCAGTCTGAGTGAAGCATCATCTTAAAACCTCCCAAAAGGTCTTAGTGAGAGGACATCCTCTTCTGCAAGAAGGGCCCTGATAAAACTCATCAGGCATAATCCCACAGGATGCTCTCCTAATACAAGCCCCATTGAAGTGGTGATGTGAAAGACCTGAGACCCTAGAGAGTTGCTGCCAGGCAGAATAAACTATACCAATCTTGAGGGACCAATGTTTTATTTATGGTAAAGTTCTCTTTCTCTTCTCCCTGCTCTTCATATGTGGTGACATTCCATTTGTTGGAAAAGGCAATGTCTGGTGTACAAAGAAGACGAGAAGAGGACTCTGCAGGGGGGTAGCAAGAAGACAATTAGATAGGATAATGAGGTCAGCACCATCTCTCCTTTTAAGTGCAATTCCTTGTCTGTCTCCAGATTGCTACTCTCAGGACAATGTCCCCCTTCTTCTTGGAAGTGCCACACTCAGTCTTATTTATTTATTTATTTATTTATACTTTCGGCTTGTATCCCGCTTGAACCCCGAGGGGTCTCTGAGCGGCTTACACAATTATTTGTTCCCTAACTAAGGCCACAATCATGAGGGGGGAGGGTGACTTCCTACCAGCACCTGGCAGCGGGGCCTATTCATTGCTGATGTCTGGCTTTCTTCGGCGGCTTCAGATGTTGGCGCTCTCCTTCCGTGTCCCGGGGCAGATCTTCTGATTCCGCGGCTCCTTCTCTCGGCGGGGCTCCTCCCGGTCTTACCCTCTCTCTCAGCTAGAGATGTAGCTAGGAACCTATCTCTGTCTCTCCTCTTTCCTATCAAGTATGTTAATTCCTAAGCAAACCTTTACCTACTCTTTAATCAGGTTGTGCACCTTTGCTGTGTTAATTACTCTGCCAACGCCATTTACATTTATGCAAGCATTAACGTTGTGCTTAAAGTATCCAACTAATTAAAACAACTTTCCTCTCAAAGTCAGGATGTTCTTTAGATAAATCAATCGAGAGGCCTTTCAAATACATTAAAATAATAATGAATATAAACAAATAGAATTTGGCCAATATTAGTTTCAAATCAACAGATCCTACATACACACCCACATCATCCCTTCTGAACGCAGATGCAAAGATTGTATTTAGCCTCTTGGCAGAATACACAAATTTGACCTCGTTCAACAGGCTATAGCTTTGGTAGCACGATCCTTTCTAGCAAGATTTGCATTTCTATGGAGTCAGCACTTGAAAACTGCTCCAGCCACTCCAGATGATATTCTGTACAGAAACAGAAGGTCCTTGTGTTGCACTCTGTGGTGTTGATATCACTGAAAGGACAGCATTGGCAAAAGCGTGAACACCACAGCAGAAGAAACGCTGATTCTTCCGTGCTCAGAAAGATGGCTTACCTACTGTTGGTAACTGGCTTCATACTTCTCGTTATGGAAACCCTCTCTGGAATGATAACAAACGGATTTATCGTCCTCATCATTTGCATGGATTGGTTCAAAAGCAAGAAATTGCCCCCAACTTACTTGATCCTGGGCTGTCTTGGACTGTCCAGACTTCTGTGGCAGGCAATCGTGATTCTGAAGGTAACCATGACTTTCTTTTTTAGGAGCACCTATATACAGAATTACACACGGTTAACATTTATCACCATGTGGCTTTTTGCAAACACTTTGAACCTTTGGTTTGCCGCCTGGCTCAGTGTAATGTACTTTGTGAAGATCGCCATCTTCTCCCACCCCGTTTTCCTCCAAGTGAAGCAAAGATTCTCTGGGCTGCTCCTACGGCTGCTTCTCGGCTCAGTCGCCTTCTCTGCTTTTATGAACATAGCGATTATCACGGCATCAAACTACGGCTTGTCCACTTGCAATCCTTACAAAATTCAACCAAGCAACTTCAGCGATACAGACATTAAAATATCTCACTCGTGTAAGTACTTCATCATTGTAACTACTGCCCCCCATTGCCTTCCTATTATGATATTTTTGTCGTCATCCGTATTGTTAATAACCTCTCTATGGAAGCACACAAGACGTCTGCGATGCAACAGGACCGGTCCCAGGGACCTCAGCACACAAACTCACTTGACTGCCATCAAAGCTCTGGCTTCCTTCGCTATTCTGTACCTGTTCAGTTTTGTAGCGTTCACTTCACAATCACTTCTGATCTGGATAAGCCGCCGGCGCGACTGGACATCCATATTTTTTGAAAATGCGAGTGCTGTGTATCCCACTGGACATGCCATTATCCTGATATTAATTAATCCCAAACTGAAACAGGCATGGGTCCGGATGATGCATCACCTAAAATGCCATTTGAGAGAAGCATAGTTTTAAAAACCTACTAAAAGACTGTAAGGAGAAAAAAAAAAGACTGTAAGGAGAAGATGTTACTTTCTGGGCTGTGGACTGTTCACTGAATGGACAATTCTCCCGGAGACGTTAGATCTCCACCTCATAGTCTGCAGGGAATGTCTGCCTCGGAGAAACAGCACTTTTGAAATGGGAATGGACAGAGGCAGAGAGAAGGGTGAAGAGCTGGGATTAGATCAAGATGGGTAGCCGTGTTAGTCTGTCTGTAGCAGTAGAAAAGAGCAAGAGTCCGGTAGCACCTTAAAGACGAACAAAATCTGTGGTAAGGTATGAGCTTGCGTGAGTCACTGCCGGAAAGAGCTGGAATTAGTCCAACTAAAGTTGGATTATTGTTCGTTTATATGTTTAGTTAGTAATTTTTCATTTAATATTCTCTCCCGTGAGCTCAGAGAGGAGTTCCTTGTTCTGTCCTCCTCCATCTTATCCTCAAAAAGAACCCTGTGAAGTAGGTTAGGCTGCATGACTGGCCCATGGACTTCTTGTGGGCTTCATGGTAAGTGGGGATTTGGCCGGGTGGCTCTCCAGGCCGAGTGCCTGTTTGCCTCCAGTTAGGCTCTGCTTGTGTGTAAATAAACTCAATATTACAAAGATCCAAAGTCTCCAGTCCTCTCTGATCAGAAGGAAGCAGGACTTGGGGGACCCCTGGAACTTCTCGCTGCTTAGGAGAGTGGGGGGCTTGGAATAACTTCTCACCTTCATGTACAGATTAACGTAATACCCACAATTTGTGGGCTGGCGGTGTGGAGGTGACACAACTGATGGGAGCAGAGGTTCAGAGTCTGCCCAGTGGCAGATGGAGAGAGAGAGGGAGTTGGCAGGGAGCAGGAAGGGAGGCCAGAAAAGGGGGAGTGGACACGAGGGGCTCAGGGAGACGGGCCACAGCACCAGAAGTGGTGCCACCCCACCCTCTGCCAGTTAGGAAACTGCTGGGGATGGAGGACATCTGGCACGGGGGGGGGGGAGGGAGGAGACGGGAGGCAGGAATGCAGAGCCCTCTCTCACCTGAGAGGCAGCCCCGGCCAATGGAAAAGGCCTGAGGGTGATGGGCAGAGACCAGTCCCACTGAGGGAGGGTGAGTCAAGTCCACAAGGAGGAGGAGGGGGGTATACACGGAGGCTCTAATGAAGAGGCCAGGGATGAAAAACGCTGGACACCTACGTTGTGGCAGAGGTTGTTCCGGCTGGAAGGAGGAGCCAGGCGAGTAAACACCCCTTCCTCCCATTCTGAGGCCTCTGAGGGTCGCAACCCAATATCAGGAGCCGTGATGGTGGAAGGCGGCCCTCCCCTGGAGAGGGGAGAGGGGGCGTGACAGAACCAAGTGAACTATTCTATACCTTTTCGCTTTTCTTAAAGATAATGTTTCTTCTTTTTTGATAGGTAGCTCAAAGATACAGGTCTTGTTTCCCCTGCCGGGTCTAAGAGCAGACTGCAGGGGAACATCTGCCTAGGTGAAAAAGTGTGTGTGTGGGAGCATTAAATGTCCCCCTCCTAGTGCCAAGACCCCAGTCCAAAGTCTCCACTCCTGCTTGCTGCTATTCAAGCCTGAATTCTAAACTGGGGGCAGTGCCAGCAGAAAGCAGTACGAGGGATTGCTGCGTGTAGATCCTATCCCCACATACCTCCATTCTGTTTGCTTCTGCTTGTGCAGCATGGGTGGGTGGCTTTTCCTGCCCCTGTGTGCGTTACACACTGCTAGGTTGGCAGGAGCTGGGGCCAGAGACAGGAGCTCACTCCATCACGCAGCACCAGGGTCTCGAACTGCCAAGCTACCGACCTTCCAGTCTACAGCTAAGCATCTTAACCACTGAGCCACTGCGGCCCTGGAACAGCCAATTAGCATACACCATAATGAAGATGATTTAACAGATGCAAAGACCAAACAGGAATAATGAGCTAATTTTACATGGTCACCATTTGTTTGGATTGAATTATGGGGGGAACACAGTGAAGCAAATAAATATGTCTAAATAGGAGTGATGTATCCTTCTTAATTCTGATCTCCAAAACTTAGGGAGAAATTGGAATTAGGAGTTTTATTGTTTGATTGATTGATGTTATTGATTTTTATCCCGCCCTTCCGGCCTAGGCTGACTCAGGGTGGCTTACAAGATAAAAGTTCTCATAATACATAAAACACGCTTCGTCACATTAATACAATTCCTGATAAATAATACAATAGTATAAAACAATACTAAAATCAAACAATATTGAAGTGCTAGCAGTTCCAGTGCTTACTTTAGTTCTCTTGATCTGCTTCAGTTGGGGGGGGGGGATAGGGCAGGCAATAGTCACAGGCAGTGTTCCCTTTAAGCTGAGTTAGTGTGAGCGAGCTCACAGTTTTTTAGCCTCTGGCTCACACATTTTTGCCTTAGCTCAGGAAGGAGGGCTCCAGAGCCAACTAATTTATGCAGCAGCCAAATCACTTGCTCACGACTTTAATGCCAGGAGCTCACAAAGGAGAATTTTTGCTCACAAGACTCCACAGCTTAGAGGGGACATTGGTCACAGGGGCCAATGGCTCAGGGCTTCCACCATGGCTGTCAGTTGTTACTAATAGCACTACTGATGGTTGTAGTTGTAATGATGGTGGTGATGGTAGTGGAGCATCCTTATTCAGAACATTCATTGGTTCCACTGTTGTTTTTTGTGGGTATTTTTTTTTTTTGTC